AACCCTCAATGTAACTGTATTTGGAGAAAGGATCTATAGGAGGTAATTAGGTTAAATGAGGTGATAAGGTGGGGCCCTAACCTCGTTGAACTGTGGCCTTTCTAAGAAGAGGAGCCTTATTAAGGGGGATCACTCTGCCATGTGAGGATATAGGGAGAAGGTAGCAGTCTGCAAGCTGGAAGAGAGCTCTCATCAGGGACTGAATCCACTGACACCTTGATCTTGGACTTCCAGCCTTCAGAACTGTGAGAAATCAATGTGTGTAGTCTAAGGCTCCCAGTCTCTATGGTATGCTGTTATGGCAGCCTGAGCAGAACAAGACACCTGTCTTCCTTCCCAAGAGGACCGTGGGAATATTCACCCCATTCTGAGTGATGCCTGGGCTAACCACAAACAGGAGAGTTTAGCAGATGTCATCCCCATGAATAAAGATTTCCAAGCATGCCTGGGTCCCTGAATCCCCCTTCTTTCTCCACACTCCAGCCTCCTTTATCCTGGAGGCAGCTCTCCCTGGGAGGAGTGGTCATGCGTTGCAAGGCTGTTCTTACCTGCCTGCTTGTCATTTGGCCTGCTGGCTGTAGGGATAAGACAAAGTTTCAAATGCTGGGTGGTCGAGGGTATAAACAATGGCTATCTCCTGCCTCCCTGTTAACTGACATATCCTCTCATCTGTCTCATTTAATAATGGAACCAAAACACAGGCGGACTCCAAGGAGAAATTTCCCAGCATTCCCAGCAAATGCTCTTTTCCCTCATCCTTTGTGTTAATGAAAATAGTAACAATACTAATGTTTACTGACTGCTTCTAGGTTTCACCCTAGAGTGAACCGTTTTAATGTACTAGATCGTTCAATCCTCATAAGTGTCCTCTGGGGCACAGGTACTGTCTAGCTCCATATACCACCGTCATCATGTTTGTGAATCAAGTTTGTATAAGGCTGGGCAGCAGACGTCAATGTCTGAAGAACAAATTCTTCTCATTCATTTTTTCAGTCATTCAGCAAATATTTACTGAGCACCTCTATGAACCAAGCAGATTTGCCCACTGTTTAGAAAATCAGAGGGTATTATGGCCCCAAGTGGCCCCCTCAAAAGATAACCTTGAGGCAGGACTAGAGTCTTCCGAGAAATCATTCAGATATTTATTCCAAGACAGGGCTCTTAATACCTGGCTGGTGTTCAGGAGAACCTTAGGGGGGTGGTTGGGGCAGCAGGCCCTGGAGCAGACCTGCCTGAGTTTGACTTGGCTTTTCCACTTTCCTGGCTGTGTGGCTTTTAGCAGGGCTGTGCCCTCTCTGAGCCTCAGTTTACTCAACTAAAACGTGGGTCATAATGATATCTATACAAGAGAATCATTGTGAAGATTTAAGTAGCACAATAAAAAAAAAAATCCTGTGGACTTAGGAAGTGTGTAAAAAACATTAGCTTTGGGACCCCTGGGTGGCTCATTTGGTGAAGCATCTGCCTTCGGCTCAGGTCATGATCCCAGGGTCCTGGGATCGAGTTCCGCATTGGGCTTCTTGCTCAGCGGGAAGACTGCTTCTCTCTCTGCTTGCTGCTCCTACTTGTGCTGTCTCTCTCTCTGACAAATAAATAAAATCTTTAAAAAAATTACAGCTTTTATTAGTGGCTCATGGAGGCCTTAGAGTGTAGGGGCGCCTGGGTGGCTCAGTTGGTTGAGCAGCCAGCTCTTGATTTCAGCTCAGATCATGATCTCAGGGTCCTGGGATCAAGCCCTGAGTCGGGCTCCGCACTCAGTGAGGAGTCTGCTTCAGGTTTCTCTCTCCCACTGCCCCTCCTCTCTCACTCTCAAATTAAAAAAAAAAAAAAAACTTAAAAAAATGTAATAAAACACCCATTATATATCAGTTTTGGGGCATGGCACTCTCTGATGACTCTCTTAGATTATTTAGTCAAATTTAACCATTTGACTTGTATATTGAGTTTTTGTTTCTGTCATTTGGACATGGAAAAATTGCTACCAAAGATGACAACTTTTTGAGGGCTTGATTGTACAGCCTCTTTTCTCCGTCACATTTAAATAATAAGAGCAAATAGCTGAATCGGTGCCTCGTATGTGATGACGGAACTGTGCCATTAGTCTGAAGAGATCTTCCCCTCTCTCTTCAGAGAGAAGGATATGTCTGTGCTGCAAACTTCTGAGTATGAGGCTGCCATTTTAACTCGAACTGTTTTGTAGACTCCATAAACACTATGAAAACAAGCTACCTTTATAAGTGTAAATATAAATAGTGATACGTGTGTATAAGTATAAATACTTTTTTAAAAAAATTTTATTGTTATGTTAATCACCATACATTACATCATTAGTTTTGGATGTAGTGTTCCATGATTCATTGTTTGTGCATAACACCCAGTGCTCCACGCAGAACGTGCCCTCCTTAATACCCATCACCAGGCTAACCCATCCCCCACCCCCCTCCCCTCTAGAACCCTCAGTTTGTTTTTCAGAGTCCATCGTCTCTCATGGTTGGTCTCCCCCTCCGATTTCCCCCCCTTCATTCTTCCCCTCCTGCTATCTTCTTCTTTTTTTTTTCTTAACATATATTGCGTTATTTGTTTCAGAGGTACAGATCTGTGATTCAACAGTCTTGCACAATTCACAGCACTCGCCAACTATAAATACTTTTCATTCAGACTGTGAACAATGCTTGGGGCCTTAGTGGACCCATGGACCTCTTACAGGAACTCCACGGCACCAGGTATCCACGACCCACACACTGAGACCCGCATTCTCCATCTCAGTGTGGCTCAAGGCATGAAATAGAGCCGGTGCTTAGGGAGCATTTGGTATGCACTAGGCATTGTCACTAGCGCTTTACAAACAATCTCATCTAATCCTGACCTTCAGCTCTCTGAAGTTGCAGGTATGGCAATCCCCGTTGCACAGGTGAGGAAGGCAAGGCGTACCTAGTTAATATGTGGTGGAGCCAGGGTTTGAAGCACTGGCTTGGGTGTATGTCTGTGAAGGCCCAAATTCATCCCGATTTACATTTGTTAAGGACTGCATGTTTGTGTCTCCCCCAAAATAGAATTAAGACTGAAATCCAAGGGGCACCTGGGTGGCTCAGTTAATTAAGCATCTGCCTTCAGCTCAGGTCATGATCCCGGGGTCCTGGGATCGAGCCCCGAATTGGGCTCCCTGCTCAGCGGGAACCCTGATTCTCCCTCTGCCCTTCACCCTACCTGTGATCTCTCTCTCACTCTCTCTCGCTCTCAAATAAATAAATAAAATCTTAAAAAAAAAAAAGACTGAAATTCTAAACAAACCAACACAAAATCCTGAGCAAAGCAGAAATTTGTCCTTTAAATCTCTGTTGGTTGTAGTCACTGAAAATTGCCCAGACAGGAAAGGACCAGGGCTATGTCAGCCAGGCCTTGGTCACTACATAGACTCGCTAACATACGGCTCTGAGGAGAAGATGCCTGGTCCCCTCAGCTAACCAGGAGGGAGTTAGAAAGGGGAAGGCATGGCACAGCTTTGAAAATGCTGACGTCCCCACACCTCTCCACTTCCTTACACACAACCCAGCATGCTCTGCAATCAGATCATGGTCATGCAGTCCTATAGAACCTGCTGATTTTCCCTCAGATTCTCCACCAGGCTCTTCTGTTTTCCTCCTTTTCCCTCTCCCACTTTATTTGTTCTGTCTTCTTCCTCCCGTGCTACATACTTCCTGTGACTTATTCGAAGTTCCCCCTTGCACATTCTCCTCCCAGAGCAAACTGAGCGCAGGCCTCTTGTGTTCAGTTCTCTGAGTGGCTGCACACTTTGGTGTTAGTTCATTCTAACATCCCTGCCTTATTGACCAGCAACCCCATGTTGAAGGAGACACTGAGGCATATATGGTCCTACCTTTCTTCAGGCCCCACCCCAAGGCTGTGGAAGCCTGGGATAGTCCTGAAATCTGCCCTTAAAGATGCCTCCCACTCAGGAAGGGGCAGTGTCCAGAATTTAGTCACGGGCAGCCCAGCGTCTTGTTCTGCTCGGCGTGCTCACAATAAAAACTGAATATTGGCTGTAGTGGGAAAAATGAAACGAGAGGGAATGGAGAGTAGAATGGGAAGAAAAGCTAGTGGGAAGATGGGGTAAGGTGCTAGGTCTGGGGATGCCAGAGTTGAAGGACTCATGAATCGCCGGGTCCTTATGTCAGTGACGATGTTTATGAAGCACTTATGATATGCTAGGCAGGTAACCCTCACCATGACCCTTCACCTGCTTAAAGGCCAGGCTTAGTCTCTCCCAGGCTGGACAGCAACACCAGGGACCGGCTGTCTAGTTACCTCCTGTTCGAGGTGCCCGCTTGTTACAAAGCAGAGCCCAATAAATATTTGTTGATTAAATTAACAAATAAAAGAACCAAGATGCCCCAAGCAAGTAACTTTCTGGGTCTTCATTAACTAGTCTCTAAAATTAAGGAGGTGGACTAGCATAGATGCCTGGGTTCCAACCTCATGCCACACTTACAGAGTATGTGTGACCTTGGGCAGGTCATTGAACCTCTGTGTGCCTCCTTTCCTCATCTATAAAATATTGCTAAAAGTACCTACCTCCCACGATAGTTTTAAAGATGAATTGTTAATAATTGGTAAGTACTTAGAACAGACAAAGTACGCTGTAAGTAGAAATGTAAATTCACAAGTCCCCTCCCACAGTGTACTTTTCTCAGGCCAGGGGAGGGCGGATGGAAAGGACGCGGGGGGAATGGCCCAGAACCTTCGGAACCGCGAAACCCTGGCCGGCTCACTGACAATGCCAAGACTACCTTACCCACAATGCCTCCCGTGGGCCCGCCCACGCGGTCTCATTCTCATCCCCTTACAGCTGGTGGGCCAGCAGTTCAAGAACTACGTTGCCCACAATGCCCCCCGTTGACCGGCGTATGCCGGCTCATTCCCACACTCGACAGCCAGCTCGGCCAATGGGGCGAGGACTATATTACCCACAGTGCTCCGGTGGGCCCGCCCACAGCGGGGTGAGCCCGTGGCTCGTTAGGACCAGTTCGCTGTGTTCGTTCTGCGGGTTTGTTGGTCTCGTTGTGGACAGCCTACCGGCTGTACCCCCCGCACCTACGGTCCTGCTTCCAGCCCGGCCTGCCGCGCTGCCGGTGAGTGCGGGCTCGGGGTCCCGGCTCGAGCTTCCATCCCGCGGCCCGCGTCAGAGCCCGGGTTTGTGCTCTGCCTGGGCCACCGCTCACCCTCCACCTGAGGGCGAGACCGGGGAACGCATCCGGGCCGGGGACTCCCAACCTTCCCAGCACCCTGGAGTTGGAGAGGCCGTGGTGACCATACAGGCGGGGGTACCCGGGTGGCCTTCGAGGCTTGCCGAGCCTAAAATCGGAGGTCGGGTCGTGACAGAATCTGCGTCCTCCTGGGCAGAGGGGGCCCTGGTTCTCACCGTATTTCCAAAGGGACCCCAGCCCAAACGGGCCTACCGTGATAATGAAAACCGCATTTCTCGAACTCTGACCCCGTCCCAGGCAATGCGGAAAACCCTTTCCAAAATCGGTTTAGGGGCGCCTGGGTGGCTCAGTCGTTAAGCGTCTGCCTTCGGCTCAGGTCATGATCCCAGGGTCTTAGGATCGAGCCCCGCATCGGGCTCCCTGCTCCGCAGGAGGCCTGCTTCTCCCTCTCCCACTCCCCATGCTTGTGTTCCTGCTCTGTGTCTCTCTGTATCAAATAAATAAGTAAAATCTTTAAAAAAAAAAAAAGTCGGTTTAGTCCTCTCAGCAGCCTATGTGTAGGGATACCATTCTCTCTACTTTTTGTTTTGTTTTGCTTTTTTAAAGATTTTATTTATTTATTTGACAGGGAGAGAGAGAGCAGGAGCAGGAACACAAGCAGGGGGAGTGGGAGGGGGAAAAGCAGGCTTCCTGCTGAGCAGAGAGCCGGATGTGGGGCTCCATCCCAGGACCTTGGGATCATGACCTGAGCAGACACTTAACAACTGAGCCACGCAGGTGCCCCTCTCTCTACTTTTTGAATGAGGAACCAAGGCCTCTAACTTGCCTGAGAGTAAACAGGAGGGTAGCAGCAAGAACGCCTTGATTTACCTCAGTCCTTTTCTTTTGCCAAAGAGGGTGAGTTGGCTCTGGGGCAAGAGCAAGCATTATGGGTAGATGCTTATCTAGCCCTAACACTGCACCCAAATGATTTATTGTTTCTCCACAGAGCCCTGCAAACATCATTTCCAGTGTCCGGCCAGAGAGACAAGTTTGAGCCCTGAGACACAAGAAAGCAAGACCTGCCCCAGACAATGGCAGCCACACCTGGTCTCCAGCCTCCACCACCCCTGGAGCAAGACGAGATCCTGATCGTGAAGGTGGAGGAAGATTTCTGCTGGGAAGAGGAGCCCTCCCTGGAGTCGGAAGACCCCAGCCCTGAGACCTTTCGCCAGCTCTTCCGGCTCTTTTGTTACCAGGAGGTGGCCGGGCCCCGGGAGGCCCTGAGCCGCCTCTGGGAGCTGTGCTGCCGCTGGCTGCGGCCTGAACTGCGCACCAAGGAGCAGATCCTGGAGCTGCTGGTGCTGGAGCAGTTCCTGATGGTGCTGCCAGGGGAGATCCAGGCCCGGGTGCGGGAGCAACAGCCGGAGAGTGGTGAGGAGGCCGTGGTCCTCGTGGAAGGGCTGCAGCGGGAGCCCAGGAAACAGAGGCAGCGGGTGAGGTGGGGGGCAATTTGGCGTTGAGGTGAGGAAACGGGGCCCCCAAGACCTCAGGGCCCTGCTCTTGAGATCTGCATTTGGAAATCCCTTGGGCTCTGGAGCCACAGGCCTGCCTTGGTCATTGTGGATGGGGGAATTGGGGCTGCCTGCTCCTGTGAATTGAAGAAGACACTGCAAAGTGTTTCTCAGCCTTGGCTGATGGGTGTAAACCTGTTGACTGAGCACATGTAGCCCCACTAGCTCTCTCTGAGCTGTGTGGGTTGTTTCATTAACATCATCCCAGCGGCGGTCAGACACGGGTTTTGATGGGAGGGCGGCTGGAGACCTTCCCAGGCAGAGCCCTGGGCATTGACGAGATCCCAAAATGAGGAGCACTAGGAAGAAAAAGCAGGGGCTGGTGGGTGCCCTGCTTAGAGCCCCCACATGTCCCCAGCCCTCTAGAGCTGTGTCATCCCATGCAGTGGCAACCAGCCACATATGATTTTTTTTTTAATTAAAACTAAATAAAACGTCAGATGTAGTTCCTAAGTTACACTGGCCCCATTTCAAGGGTGCAGTCGTCAGATGTCCCTAGTGGCTACTATACTGGATACTAGACAGTGAAGACATAGGACACTTTGTTGTCATGGAAGATTTTGTGGACAGCACTGCTCTAGGGCACATTCCCAGCTTCTAACAGAATTTGAAGAGTGGGAAGTCTCACAAATTCCTTTTGCTTAGATTAGTTTTCCAGATTAAATATTTGGTAGATATGGACAGGTGGCCTTTCTCCTGTGTTAGTGCCATTGGCCACATACTTTCCTTTTTGTCTAGCAGGATAGACACATCCCCCCAAACTTGATCACAGTGTGAGTTGATTGCAGTAAGCAAATCCTGCTATCTTGGTGGCCAGCGAGAACTCAGGATCCTTTCCCAGCCCCTCCAGCCCTGGCATTGGGGTTCTTAGCATGGCTTCCCTCTGTCTCTGTGCACCCCATAACCTCTGAGGACCGTCTTCTCTTAGAGGTGTGCAATGTTGAGCCTGACGCAGGGGTCCCTGGTGCTGGTTTCACAGTTCCCTGGGGATGTTTCTTGACTTAAGTACTATTGCAGAACTCAGTAAACTCTGAGACCCAAGGTCATCCTAGTCATCTTTGCTACAATTGGGATATAGATTGTTCCAGAGAACTTGTAGGTGACTTCAAAAAGCATAGCACATGCAATAGTGCGAATTTCTGAAATGAGACCTGATTCAGGGTCCTCCTGGCCCAGGTCTATTGGGAGCACCGAGGAAGGGAGGGTAAGAGTGTGACAATGACACCAGTGCAGTGTGATGGGGAGAGACTCGGGAGACTCTCTCAGGGACAGAGCAGGTCTCACTTTGTCCCGTTTGGGAGCCTGACCTCTTCCCAGCTCACATTTCTTCTCCCAGCGTGTCTGGAGGGAAGATTGTGTGGCATGTGGAGGGCCATGGGGGCAGGCAGGGGGAGGAAGCCCTGGGCGTGGGGGAGGTGAGGCACAGCTGGTTCAGAACCTGGGAACAGGAGGATGGCCAGGGGAGCCTGAGACAGGAGTGGTTGGGAACCTTGTGGGTTTTCTCCCAGCCTTCTGGGAGCTGGTGGGCAGATCTCTGTCTGCATTCAGGGCCTGGAGGTGCTCCCTGATGATGTACTGTCCCATGGGACAGAACAGTGCTTGAAACACCAAGTGGAGGCCAGGCCAGAGGAGCTGTCTCTGGAGGAAGGGTCTGGATGCTCCAGCCAGCAGGCCCCAGCCCAATGGAGCCACAGACCAAAGAGGGGTGAGTAGCCATCCCTCTAGATGAAAGAAGCTCTGTAGGGGAAGGAGGCAGAGGGAAAGGGGTGTCACAGGAGGCTAGGCCTCTGTGCACATGGGAAGGACACGTTCTTGCCTGGGAGCTGAGTATAGGTGGGGAGTAGTTGTACCTGTCTGGGCCTTTGCTACCGTGTGCACGGATGGGCTGTGTGGCCTTCTCTGGCAACTCTGTGCTTTTTCCCCAGGCCCAGTGGCCTCCCAGCATCAGGAGATGGCGGCATCGGCCACGTCCTTCGTTTCATCCTGGTCCCGGGTGAGTGGGTGTTCCTGATCTGCAGCATCCCTGTGTGTCCCCTGCCTCTGTTATGGGAACACTTCTCTCCCATGCCAGGTCCAGCTCTTAGAGCTCCTCCTTCATGGAATGGCCCCTTTACCCCAACTTTCTCCTACCGAAAGTCTTCTCTTAGATGCCATCTGCGTATTAGGTGTGTCCCAGAGGATTCTGGGGCTTAATGGTGAGCTGGGGCAATTGCTTCAAACCCAGCCAGGCACTAGACTCTTGGGACTTTGGGTAAAAATATAGGTTCCTCCCCCAGCCCTGGCCTGGAATTGGAGTCTCCTTTGCTTGTTTGTTTAAATAACAGCTTTATTGAGGGGCGCCTGGGTGGCTCAGTTGGTTAAGCATCTGACTCTTGATTTCGGCTCGGGTCATGATCTCAGGGTCGTGAGATCGAGCCCTGTATCAGGCTCTGTGCTCAATGGGGAGTCTGCTTGAGATTCTCTCACTTTCCCTCCCTCTGCTCCTTCACCTGCTCATGCTTACTCTCACTCTTTCTTTTTCTTTTCTTTTTTTTTTTTTTTAAAGATTTTATTTATTTATTTGACAGAGAAAAAGAGAGGGAACACAAGCAGGGGGAGTGGCAGGCAGAGGGAGAGGGAGAAGCAGGCTTCCTGCAGAGCAGGGGGAGCCTAATGTGGGGCTCGATCCCAGGACCCCGGGATCATGACCTGAGCTGAAGGCAGTCGCCTAACCAACTGAGCCACCCAGGTGCCCTCCTTCTTTCTAAAATAAATAAATAAAAAATAACAGCTTTGTTGAGGTATAATTCACATACCACGCAGCTTAGCTATTTAGAGTGCATAGTGTTTAGCGTATTTATAGAGTTATGCAACCATCATCACAGTCTTCAAAAGACTTTCCTCCCCAGGACACCCCATACCCATTAGCAGCACACCCCCATTCGCTCTTTGCCAGCCCATGGCAACCTACTTTTCTGTCTCTATGGATTTGCCTCTTCTAGACATTGTTTGCTTGGGTTTTAATCTGCTGCTCAGGTCAGTCTGGTGCCAGATTTGGAACGACTGGCCTACAGGCATCCTGAAGTTCCCAAGACACCCCCCTCGGGTTTCAGGGCTGGTTGAGCTGAGGCAGGGCATGCCTGACTCGTCCCCTGGGGAACGTGGGCCCCGGTGGCTGAGCGTGCAGTGGAACCAGCTGTTCCAGACAGTGAATCTGTCCACACTGTCTCTGGCCCAGCAGCAGTGGGACAGGGTGGCGGTGATGATGTCCTCCCAGGGAGCAGGATTCAGCCGTTCTGTGAGTGGAGCCTGAGGAGGAGGGGTGGCCAACAGCATATGGAGAGGGAAAGTGTTGGAGAGAGGAAGTGGGGGGAGGCAAAGCCGGACCTGCCATTGTGATACAGGTGGAGGGGGTGGGTGAGCCCGCCAGGCTGGCCCACATGACAGAGCTGTGGCATAGGACTGAGTGGCTTGCATTCCAGCAGGTGCCAGTGACCTTGGAGGACATGGCGGCGTACCTATCCCAGGAGGAGTGGGAGTGCGTGGACCCGGCTCAGCGGGACTGCAGCTGGGACATGCTGCCGGAACACGGGGGTAACGTGCAGAGAGACCCTGGCCATTGCTCCTCAGTGGCGTGTCTGAAGTGGGCCAGTCTCGGGGAGGGTAGCTCCTTCCCTTAGGCTGGCTGGGGCCAGCTCAGCATTTCCCAACAGTTGTGTGTGGGCCTTAGGCACCCTAGGCCCAGCATCTCCCTGCTCCGTATCGCCCCTGTCTCTGTACCACTTACAAAAGCCAGTTCAACAGTTCTCAGGCTGCAGTGGCCCGAGGAATCACTGGGGAGCATGTTGAAATAAGAACTCACACCCTGTTCCTAGGTGGGTTCAGTGGGCCAGGGGTGCTCCCTGGAGAGTCTGCTCAGCAACCAGCTGAGTGCAGCCTGCAAAGCCAGGGTTGCTAGTCACCTGTCAGGGGCCCACTGCAGTGGGGAGAGTGTGGCTGCTCGCCTCGCCCCAGGCAGGTGCCCACGGTTGTCCTGGGTTCCTTATTCTTTTGTTCCTTCACCCACATGGTTGGTCCTGTTTCACGTTGGCCTCTGTGCTGCCCATGGCTCCCGTGGGTGGAGCTGCTTCTGGCAAGGCCTTGGCCATCCACAGCCTCTCCTTACCACCCCCACCCCCACCCCCACCCCACCACCCAACACTATTCCTTCTGCTCTTCCCGCTCAGCTCATCTTGGCACTCCAGATACCCATTCACTCCCTGAAATAGGTTCTGAAGGAATTGAGATGCTGCTTTGTATCAGTTGGGTTTCTTCAGACAAAGAGAACCAATAGTGTGTGTGTAAGTTAAGACATTTATTTTTGGGCGCTTGGGTGGCTCAGTCGTTAAGCATCTGCCTTCGGCTCAGGTCATGGTCCCAGGGTCCTGGGATCGAGTCCCGCATCGGGCTCCCTGCTCAGCGGGAAGCCTGCTTCTCCCTCTCCCACTCGCCCTGCTTGTGTTCCTGCTCTCGCTCTCTCTCTCTCTCTGTAAAAAAAAAAAAAAAAAAAAAATTTATTTTTAAGGAATTGGCTCATAGGATTGTTGATGCTGACAAGCCTAAAATCATAGGACAGGCCCGCAGGCTGGAAATTCGAGTGAGAGTTGATGTTGCAGTCCTGAGTCTGATATCTGCAGGGCAGCCAGCAGACTGGAAACCCAGGCAGGATTTCTGTATTACAGTCTGGAGGCTGAATTCCTTCTTTGGGGGAGGCACCTGGGTGGCTCAGTTGGTGAAGTGTCCCACTTGATTTCAGCTCAGGTTATGATCTCAGGCTTGTGAGATCAAGGCCTGCAAGGGGCTCCATGCCGGGCAAGAAGTCTGCTTAGGATCCTCTCTCCCTCTGCCCCTCCCTGGGAAACCTCAGGTCCTGCTCTTAAAGCCTTCAGCTGATTAGATTTCGAGGCCCACCTGCAGTGTGGAGGGTGATCTGCTTTATTTACAGTCAGCTGATTGTAGATGTTAAGCAGATCTACAGATGACATCCTGAGAGGTTATTTAGCCTGGCTGTGGTACCACTGTTTAGTTAACACCAAAACACTGTTGACATTGGGGCTGTAGAATCCTCCGTTAGGATGCCATCTAGTGAGCTATAGGATGTTCACCAGCATCCCTGGCCTTCACCCACTAGATGCCATTTGCAACATTCTTCTCCCCAGTTGTGACAACCAAAACTGTCTTCAGACATGCCAAGTGCCCTCTGAAGGCCACCATTGCCCCCGGGTAAGAACCCCTGGCCTAGAGGTTATGAGCCCAGGCTCCAGAGCCCGTCCTGTAACTTACTAGCCCAGTGACTCTGGGTGAGTTCCTCAGCGTCCTCGCCCTGCAATGGGACAGTAAGGGCACGCGCTTCACTGGCGTTGTGAGGCTTTCACGAGCTGCTGGCCACGGTCCACTGTCTCCGTTCAGGGTCTGACACTCCCCTGCTAGGTGCTCTGAGGCTTGCTCTCATGTTCCTCAGGTGGGACAGCCGCCCAGCCTCTGCCTTCTTATTGTCCCCTCTCCCTGTGAAGGCCTCAGGGACTGTGTTTTCTCTGTCCCAGGGCTTGGGCTGCAACTTGAGGACGGACAGGACACCAGGGAGGACGTGTCAATGGGAAGGGAGCGGGACCAAGAGCTGGTCAGGGGCCTGGCCAGGCCCGAGCAGCCTCTGGAAAGAGGAGGGCCGCGACGAGTCGAAAAGCCGTACACGTGCCCCGAGTGCGGCAAAGGCTTTAGCAAAACGTCCCACTTGACCAAGCACCAGCGCACGCACACCGGGGAGCGGCCCTACAAGTGTCAGGTGTGCGGGAAGGGCTTCAGTGACCGCTCCAACTTCAGCACGCACCAGAGGGTCCACACGGGCGAGAAACCCTACGCGTGCGCCGAGTGCGGCAAACGCTTCAGCCAGAGCTCCAGCCTGGTCATCCACCGCCGGACGCACACTGGGGAGCGGCCTTACGCCTGTGCTGAGTGTGGGAAGCGCTTCAGCAACAGCTCCCACTTCAGTGCGCACCGGAGGACACACGCGGGCGAGAAGCCCTTTGTGTGCCTGACCTGTGGCAGGGGCTTCCGCCGGGGCACGGACCTGCACAAACACCAGCGGACCCACAGCGGAGAGCAGCGCCTGCCGGGCTTGCAGAGCCCCACGGCGTGGCTCCAGGAGGCCCCCGGGGTGAAGCCCAGCCGCCACTCGTTGAGCTGCCCACCTCCAGAGTTCCGTTCAGAATTTCGAGGTCAGAGTTCATGAAGCTGCTGGAGTTACTGTCTTGGAACCAGAACCCTAATCTGAAGGCATTTCAGACTGACCCTGTTTGCCCCTGGTGGGGGCCCAGCCCATGGCTGTGGGATATTTCAGGTGCCCAGGCAGAGGGAAGAATCCGGGCACTGAGTTCAGCAGTGGCAGCTGGACATGGAGCAGGTGGACCTGGGTCCTGGGGCCGCTGTCCAGGTGACCACAGCCTGGGTGGCTCACCACCCCAGGGATGGATACTCACCGTTCAGGAGGCTAGAAGACCAAACCCAAGATGTGGGCAGGGCTGCTTCCTTCTGGAGGCCCTGATGGGAGAGACTGTCCCACGCCTCTCTCCTGGCTTCTGGTGTTGCCGGTGTCCCCGGTGTTCTTGGCTTGTGGCCACATCGCTCCCGCCTCTGCCTCTTCTCTGCTCTGGTGTCCTCTTCTAAGGGCACAGTCATTCGATTTAGGGCCCCTGATCCAGAATGACCTCATCTCAATTACATCTGCATAGACCTTGTTTCCAAATAAGGGCACATGCTGAGGTTGTGGGTGGACATGAAGCCGGGAACGCTTGTCAGCCCACTTTGGGGAAGGCTCCAGAACTCCAGTTCCTTGGAGCGTTAACATACCCCAGCCTTCCCTGGCCTCCCACCTTCCCCTCCAGCCTTGCCACACCCAGTATGTAGCCTGTGGGGGCTTTTTCTGTATCTCTGTGGTGTTAGCGGGGTAGTGGGGTGAGTTGGGGGTCACCTTCATAGATCCATGGCTGTTCTAAAGGATGAATACCTGGTGTGGGAACGCTTCCCTGATACCCCATCTTCCAACCTCCCCGGCCCATGAGGAAGCCTGTGGATTGGACCAGCCTTGCCATCTATCCCCAGGGCAGGAGTCCAGGGTTGCCTTTGCTCCAGCCCCAAGTGGCCAGGACAGAGGCAGCCTTGGCTGCCCCTCTTGGTCTTTCTGATCTGTTCACATCCACTGTGTCCTGGGCAGCTGTGGGGAGCAGTAGAGAGTCCTGGTTTCGTTTCGTCATCACTGGAGTCTTGGAGCAGCTGCTGAAACCCCTTGGTTCTGGAACATTCCATGCAGGGAGTGTGGCAATTTCCCATGGCGGGGTTGCCTTGGGCCTCGTGCTGTGCTCCATTCTGTTGGTCACCCAATCACTGTAGGTATTTTACACCTTTCAGCATAACCCAGGTTCCAGGGTGCGTGATCTGTTCTCGGTTCCCTTAATAAAGTCGGTCCCTCTGGCCTCGTGTGCTCTGCCTGGTGTGTTCTCCAGAGAAGGCGGCCACTCAGTTGAAGCATGGTTTGACCTTCTAGGCCAACTGCCAGGGCTCTTGAGCACACTTGGCTTTGCCGACCACCCTCCTTCCCTATGCGGCTGTGAGTCTGCGGGTTCACTTCTGTCATGTCCAGGCTGGTGCTGGAGGCCGCCGGCCGCCCGCTTCCTGGCCTGGGACCTGGGCCTATTAGTACCCGTTCCAGAATATTCTCTCACACAGTCCTAGGACATAGGGCTTTTGTGACTCTCCTTTTATAGATGGGAAACTGAGGTCCTGAGTGCTTCACCTTGTCCAGGTGGCAGAACTCCTACCACATCATCCTTTCGGCTTGCCTTAACGGTCGTTCACCCAGTTGAACTTGGAACAAAGAGTTTATTTTCTCTCACTTTGTGAAACATTCTTAACAAACTAATGACGTTAAAAGGGGTAGAGATGGGGAAAATGGGTTCAAAGGAAAAAAAGCTGGCCATTGCTCCTGACAGGCTGCATGGGTGGAGGTGGTCACGTTTAGTCTGCCTTGCCCAGTGCCTGAGCCCTGACCACACTGCACGTGCCCTGGAGCAGAGGGTGAGGGACTTTCACAGATGGGCAAGACCCAGGAGCCCAAGCGATGCAGTGTGGTTACTTGCCCTGCCGGTAGGCCCACCCAGGGCTTCCTGTGGCCTTGGTGGAAGCTGCCTTGCCCCTGGCCCCTCATCGTTGTGGGTGGGGGCTGCTGTGGGGGCCCCCATGGTCATATCAAGTGAAGTCTGTGGCCCTGATCATGACTAGCTGAGGCCAGGCAGAGCCTGCCTTGCCTGGTGCAGGGCTTGATGGAAAGAGACCCTTGCCCATCCTCAGCGCATGCTAACAGGTGGTGACCCCAGCTGAATCCTGGGACATGTGCCCAAATGCCAAGGACCCTACCAAGCCACTGAGCCCATGTCACAGGGGGACTCGAGATGACTGCTTTTCCCATGGGGCAGGCAGGGCAGAGTGGGGCAGAGACTCTGAGAAGCAGAATCTCGGAAACAAGTTGACGAGAGAACAGAGGTAGCCACAGATCAGGGCTTCAGCCTGTTGGGGACAGCAGGGCTGAGAACAATACGAAAGGACTGAAAATGGGCAGTGGGGGGTGATGTTGGCAAAGTAACGAGAAGGATGTCCTCCACAAGGCCGGGCGCCGCTCTGTTCCCTGGGGACCGTTTGGGTGTCAGGACACTCGGTACTCTATCTCTGTGGAAAGGTCAACTCCACCCATAGTTTGGAAGGACCCTAAAACGTGTGCCTTTGTATCTTGGTTAAAGAAAAAAACCTTCAGTCTTCCCCCATTTATCAAAGAGTCCATTTGGTGTGTGAGAGAGAGTGGGTGGTGTGTTCATTTAGGCACATAAATAGCAAGCAGCCAGGGACCCAGAAGATCAGGCTCAATTCTCCTCCAAGACCCTTTCTCTAAACCCTGAAATTCTCTGAATATGTTTTACTTGAGTTTTAGCTTTAGAAAAAGCTTGCATGATGACAATAACAGAGAAGAGTGCAGACATGAGAGAGAAAACACCCGACAGTCCCCCTATTGGCACGGACCATGCTCTCCGTGGGGTCTGCTTCCAAGGCGCTATTGTCCTGCTCTGTGTACAACTGTGTTCTGGCATCTTTGCTCTAAGTACATAGAATGATCTGCCCCGCAGCCTGAGGGTCCCCGTGCTGCAGAAGAAACACCTTCTCACAGAAACAAGGGAGAGCCAGGGGCCCAGGCATGTGGATGGAGAGTGGAATCATCCCGCCCAGCTCCTTCTCCCATCTGGTCCAGGACGCAGCTACAGTTGGTCCAGGGGAGGCACCAGGGCCTCCCTGGCTGTCCCTGGCCCAGGAGCGTCCCCTAGCGCCCTGGGACCTCCCCCTGGGCATCTGGCCTGGGTGCTCTGCTGCTCAGCCCCGGCTGGTATATGTTGCTTTCTCCCAGTTGCGGAGCTGGCTGGATCTTCAGGGACCTGAGCCTTCTGGCCACTGGGACCCCCCGTGGCAGGCAAATTGGGCCGAGCCGTCCCCTTCCGAAATGCCCTGAGCTGTTGGAGAAGCTGACTCTTCCCGGTGCAGTCCCTGTGACACAAGAGACGATCAATCAACACCAAGTGGAGCCAGACCTCCCCACAAGAAGGGGCCAGAGTGCTTCCAGAAGCGTGTTGCCTGGTTCTCAGGACGGTAAGTGAGAGATTTTGGCCTCTCAGCCCGTGCTGAGTCACAGGGCATGTTAGCATGTTTAAGGCTTCTGGGAGCCCACTCGTGTGATGCTTCTCAACTCAGATTTTTCTTCTTTTTTCCTATATGCCTAATCATGTACCACTTTAGGGGAAAAGCTGCATTTGACTGATCTTCCCAGAGGATAGGATCCACAGGCTTTGCAATTCCAAAAAGTGGCCTTAGGACCACCATGTGGGGCCTCTGCACGGTGGGGAGCTGGACTTCTCTGAATGGGACACTGCTTCCTTCACCCAGGCCTTTCATTTCTAGCCAACAACCATCACTTCATTCCATCCCAACAACTTCATTTCCAGTGCTATCAGGAGTAGGGAGCAAATAAATTTGGGCAGCTATTTTTCAGAAGGCAAGTACTTATCCCTTCTCAGGAATGAACTAAGGTGTCCTTGGTGATGTCGGGAGGACAGCATTCCAGGCTGGGCCTCAAGTGGGCTCCCATGGGCCACCTCCTAGACCCCCCACCAGACCCGCACGTGCTGGCCTTATGGGTGCAAGACAGAGCTGAAAGCAAAAATGTTCAGTGTGCCAGCCTGAGGGCTTGCTGTGGAAAGCAGGGATGGGACGTCCCCAGGTGATGGGAGCCCCTTGGTGGTTACCGTAGGCGGCGGGAGGAAGGACTCTCCTGCTTGGCTGGGCCCTGCTGGTCTCTGAGGGCCACTGTAGCCTCCTCTTCTTCCTCGCTGTCGGAGGAGCTGGAGCTGAGGCTGGAGCTGGAGGAGAGGAAAGCTGGCTTCACGGAATGTGCCCCAGGCCACCCAGGCCACTGGGATTTCCTGCCAAGAGGTGGAGGGACACACCCCAGGGCCATGTACCAAAGCCCAGACTCTGTTTGCTTAGAGCTCCACCTGGGTTCTTCCCTCCCTGCAGGGAGAGCCTGCTGATGGGACCAAGTGGGATTGTCGGCCAGGCTCAGCTCCTGGCTAACAGCACTTCTCCACTGAGCAGTGCTCTGGGGCTAGCCCACACCAGTGTGACTCCCACCTGTATGAGCACCTGCTCCTCCTGAGGCCAGTGGGAACAGTGCAAAGCAGGGCTGTCACCACTCCCAGTACCTTTCCACCGACCCGGGGTCTGATGGCTCCGAGGGCCGCAGATCGATGAAGATGGTGGGAGGCTCTGCGGGGCTCCTTAGCTGCCTGCTCTCGGCCAGTGTCAGGCCCAGCTCAGCCTGGAAGCCTGGCTCCCTCGGAGCAGATCTGAGATGAGAGAGCAGGGTTTCTGAGTCACTTCTGCATGATTATGGTGTGACCTGATCTAGGCCCTGTAAATGCACCTGCTCTTTTGCTCTTCAGAAGCCTCAAGATTTGGCTAGCACTGTCCCAACGGGACTGTCCCTGGTGACTGAAATGTTCTATATTTGTGCTTCCCAGTGTGGTAGCCATTTGCCACAAGTAGCTTTTTAAATTTACTTGTAAGCTAATTAAAATTAAATTTAAAAATAAAATAAATTTGGGGTACCTGGGTGGCTCAGTTGGTTAAGTGTCTGCCTTCAGCTCAGGTCATGATCCTAGGGTCCTGGGATCGAGCCCTACGTTGGGCTCCCTGCTCAGTGGAGAGTCTGCTTCTCCCTCTCCCTCTGCCTGCCTCTCTGCCTACTTGTGCTCTCTCTCTGTCAAATAAATAAATAAAATCTTTAAAAAAAAAAAATTTAAAAAATTCATTTCCTCAGTTGCACCAGCCACATTTCAAGGGTTCAGTAGCCACATGTGGCCAGTGGTTACCAATTGGACAGTACGAGTCTAGATAGTGCTTTTTTTCTTTTTTTCTTTTTTAAGATTTTATTTATTTATTTGACAGAGAGAGACACAGCAAGAGAAGGAACACAAGCAGGGGGAGTGGGAGAGGAAGAAGCAGGCTTCCCGTGGAGCAGGGAGCCCGATGTGGGGCTCAATCCCAGGATCCTGGGATCATGACCTGAGCCGAAGGCAGACACTTAATGACTGAGCCACCCAGGCGCCCTTCCTTTTTTTTTTTTTTTTTTTAAGACTTTTTATTTATTTGAAAGAGACAGAGCGCAAGCGGGGGTGGGAGGAGCAGTGGGAGAGGGAGAAGGGAAGCACACTCCCCTCTGAATGTGGAACCTGAGATCATGACCTGAGTCAAAACCAAGAGTTGGTCACTCAACCGACTGAGCCACCCAGAGACCCCTAGATATTCCTATTGGTCACTGGGTTGCCAGGAACAGAAGACCACTCCAAATGGCTTGAGTGAAAAGGAGAATTCATTGGCTCTCAGATTCCTAAAAAAGAGTGGGAAGCTAGGTTTTCAGGGATCCTAGTGCCCTGCGCCCACCTCTGCCCTCCAGCTTCAGTGTTTCTCACTACAGCTGGCCTTTCTCTGCCCTCCCACCCCCACCCAGAGACAGGGAGATTGGAAATTCTCACAGAAAGGCTCTGATTGGCCTGGCTTGGGTCAGACTCCAGGGCTGGCCTAATTAACAGCGGCCAGAGGGGCAGGGTCCTACTCTGGGGAAGCCATGTGGATGGTGAAGGGAGGGTTCCCAGGGGGTGTGCAAGAGCAGGTGCTTTGGGGCTTGAGTCCCAGCTCTGCCATGTATGGCCTGGGTAACTCAATCTCAGCCTCAGTTTCCCCGTCTATAGAATGGAGATAATAGCACCTACCTGATCAGATTCTTGAGATGAAATGAGAACTCTACATCAAGTGCCCCACCCAGGATACATCTGATACTTGCTGCAAGACCATGGCCAGTTCCACAGAGAGGACACGGGCTGTGGCTGGCAGAAGTCTCACCTGCTCCTGGCCTCCTGCTGCATGGTGTCCTGAGGTGTGTCAGCAGGCACCTTCCAGGCAGAAGGGGCTCTGGAGTGTGTGGCACACAGAAGGATGAGCTGTTCCATGAGCCTGTCCTGGCTGTTCGGCAGGATGTGGTCTGATGGGAGAGCAGGGAGGCTGCTGAGTTGGGACACCCACGGTTTGACTTACAGCAGCCTGAGCCTTAGGACCCCTTGGACTCCCTTGTAAAGTAAAGGCCCCGTAAAGTAGGAGTGACTTATTAACGGGTTCCCTCACTTCCTCACTCCCCAGTCCCACTCGTCAGAGGGAACCAGAATTAACAGTTCTGTGTGTTCACTTTTTTAAAAAAAATAGCAACAGGATTATCCTCCATAGATTTTTTTTTCACTGAATAGATTATGTCGTTCTGTGTTAATATACATAGATTCTCTTCATTTGAGCTTTAGAGCATTCTGTGGTATAACTGATTTAGCTTGACTCCTATTGAATATTGAATATGGGTCATTTCCAAATTTTCACAATTATAAACAGCGCTGTAATGAACATCCTTGGATACACATCTTTACCCATTGGGGTGTGTGTTTAGGATAGACTTTAGCAGTGGAATAAGTGGACGATGTGGCTTATGTGGCTTTAAACAGAGAATGGATTCTGCCACATTGCCCTCCAAAGAGGGTATATTGGTTACAGCCCCAGCCCAGGCCCTGCCTGACAGGAGGGAGGGTTTCTCCACATCCTGCTATAAGGCTTTAAATTACAAACAAACAAAACCACGTTGAAACAGCACCAGGGGCTGTCAGCCACAGCCACACAGAGGAGGTTTGCTCTGGAATTGGAGGCTAGAACCCCCACACCTCCTTGCTCTTTGCCTCAGACCAGCCTCCGCTTACATTTGTGACCCAGGATGGCTGGAGAGGCAGGGAGGAGCTTTCCTTTTATTTACAGAACTGCCCAGAGCAAGGGCACAAATGCAGTGGCAGTAATCACATCCCTGGCTTTGTCGATGGGGAGGTGAGGGGAGGCAGGGTATGCTTAGTTGCTGGCTGAAGGAGCACAAATTGCAGATTGCTTTGCTCCCAGAAAGAGAGGGAGGAAGCCCTGGAGGTGGGCAGGAGGGAAAGGTGTGAGTCAAGGGTAGGGACCTGTCTGAAGGTCCCCTCTGGGGCTTGTCCACTCCCGACACCTAGTAGGGGGTCATGTATATAATGAGTGAATGAGTGAGTGGATGGATGGGTGGAAGTTTCCACGGACTGGCACCTGTGTGCTTGGGACTGTGAGGGCTGAGCAGCAGAGAGGACATGGTGGGCTGCAGGGCTGACCCTATTTTACTGAGAGGATCTGGAACGAGCTGCTTGTGGGGATGCATTTGGGCCCTGGCATTCAAGGTCAGACCTGGGCCCAGGCGGTCAGCTGCCCACCACGTGGCTGTAGGTGCGCGATCTCCCCTGCTGCCTTCTTGCCCTGCCAAACTCTGAAGGATGTGATCCAAATCCCACTCTTCAAGTTCCTGAAATAATTAAAGCAGTGATTACAAGGTAGCCACACGGTCCTCGCGGTGGGAATGCCCGATTCCGCAGCTGCTGTGACCCACGGAGGGTTGTTTCGGGTTAGAAATCCCCAGGGTTTAGGTGCCTGCCCCCCTGGGCACTCTCACCCATACCTCCTGCCATGTCCTTCCTATGCCTCTTTTGAGCAATACTTTTGTTTTTGGTACAAAGACTGTTTGGCCTGGAAACCCAGTGTCGTCTTAACCTCCTTAGGTTTATACAGGTTTAGTGTTGGGAGATTTAAACGGTTTGCTCTTTTAAGGAACAGATTGTTCTGGGCTGGTGCTATCCACAGGAGGACTTGGAAGAGAGCGCTGGGGGCGCCTGGGTCTGATGAGAGCAGGGAGGAAGCTAAGTAGGAATTGGTGTTTCTTGGGGACCCTCTTGCAGCTCCGTGCAGCCCCAGAGGTGAGTGGAAACAAGTGTATCGGGGCAAGCAGAAAGGAAAGAATGGCTTATTTCAACAGCAATTGATAAGAATGGAAGTGGTAAAAATGACCTTCATGTACAACCTGATGCCAGTTTTCTCTAAGTTGTTAAGAAAATTATCAAAATTTGCAAATAAGGCAAAAAAGAATTGCACAATGTTTAAATGCCATGCTGGAGCTTTTCTGACGAGCCCACCTTCCCTGAGGGCGGTAATTTGGTTTCCGCAGGCGACCAGGGTCCACCTATGTTACGACTTTGTAAAACTGAGAAACAGGTGCAGGGGTTTTCTCTGTCCCGTGGAGATGACCCCAGAGGTAACAAACAGCTTTGCGGCTTGTCGGATGTTGACCAATTTTGTGCTTCATGTGCAATTTTCCTCAGCGTCCCTTTCTTTCTCCCCAGTGTTTTACAAAATCCCAGTTTCTCATAACCTCTCTGAACCGGCTTCATCATCCTGCTGGTTCTCTCGTTAATGAGCTAAGTACAATGTTAACAGGTGCTCACACTCTCTGTATGAAAATGAGGGCTTTACCATTTGGGGAATTATGTTTTAACAAAGTTTGTTCTATGTCTTACATGTGGTTGTCTTGTCTTTATAAACATGCTTTGGATTAGTCTGTCTTTCCTTCCTCCTTTCTCTTTTCTTTTCTTTCTTTCTTTTTTTCTTTCTTTCTCTCTCTGTCTCTCTCTGTCTCTTTCTCTCTTTCTTTCAAGGCTGGAGTCTCCTTGCTCTTCCTTGTTCTTGTTACCACTGCCCGCTGAGACAGGCATGACCGCCCACTGAAGGACCTGGGACCATGGGCCTAGGGGCCTAAGGTCGTTGCTGTAGACTAAATGTCTGCGTCCCTCCAAAATTCACAGGTTGAAATCCTAATCCCCAGTGCGATGGTGTTTTGGAGGTGAGCTGCTGGAAAGTGATAAATAGGTCATGAAGGTGGAGCTCTTATAAAAGAGGCCCAGAGAGCTTCCTTGCCTCTTCCACCATATGAGGACCCGGCCAGAGATGCCATCTTTGAACCTGGAAACAGGCTCTCACCAGACATCAAGTGTACCGGCGCTGTGGTCTTGGACTTCCCAGTCTCTGGAACTGTGAGAGATGAATTTCTGGGGTTTAAGACCCCCTAGTCTATGAGAGTTTGTCACGGCAGCCCAGATAGACTAGGACAGGTATAGTGGGGCCAGGCCTGTGCAAGGGCGCCCCCCCCACCCCAAGGAAGTGCAGGCTAGGGGGATGCCTACCTTGAGGGAGAGCACCGGAGGTCCTTCCTGAGGCCCCTCCGGGGGTGTTTCTGGTCTCAGACCTGCCACTCCCGCGGCACTGGGTGCCTCCTCCACTGGACTTTGGTCACGGCAGGCTGGGCCCCGGGCATCCCAGGTAACTTTATGGAGTATGTCCTTCTCAATCATCTTCCTTCTCTCCCTTTGGAGGGCTCTGTGGGCTGTGGAGTCTGTGCCCCAACGGGCTCGTGAGGCAGCGCCTGGGGCTTCTGTTTTCCGGTCGCATTCCCACGGGGAGAAGGTGGCTTCTCCGTGTGGCCCCCGGGGAGGACCCTGGGTGCTGAAGGGCACAGCCCCACGGTTGCCTTCCTGCCACATGGGGGTGTCCTCAGGCACCCGAAGAAGGGAACAGGCCTCACCACAGCTCTCTACAGGCCCGTCAGGGTCCCTGCCTTGCAGAGAGGCAGAACCCCTTGTCTTTGGGCCCCCCTTACTCCAGGGTTCTGCAGTGAATTCCACAGTCACCACATCTGGCTGTGGAGAAAACAGGTGTTCTTAGCATCCTCAAAAACATACTGCCGGGAATTTTTATGTGTGTGGTAAAATACATATGTAACATAAAATCTGCTATTTTGATTGTTACAAAATGTATCATTCAGTGGCATTAAGTACATTCATAATGTGCAACCGTCACCGCTGTCTATTTCCAAAGCTTTTTTATCACCCCAAAGGGACTGTGCCTCCCCACCCCCCAGCCCCTAGTAACCTCCAGTCTACTTTCTCTCTCTATGGATTTGCCTGCTCTAGGTATGGCATATAAGTGGAATCCTACAGTATTTGTCCTTTTGTGTCCTTGCTTAGCTTAGTGTTTCCAAGGTCCACTGGGGTGGTAGCATGTGTCAGTACTTGGTTCCCTTTCACGGACTGCATAAGGTTCCATTGTATGGATACACCACATTTTGTTTGTCCGTTTTTTGTGTTGACGGACACTTGGGTTGTTTCTACCTTTTGGCCACACAACTATTAAGGGGTGGACAAGAAGAAATCCAGGCCCTTTGACTCCAGAGCAAGCCCACAGTCTCCGCCCCTGTGAGTCGATGCAGACTTTCCCTTCCCAGACTGAAAAAAATTCTCCAGAAGAGTCACCGAGGTAATTATAGAAATGAAGAAAACATGAGATAAGACCATGTGGACATCACTGCACCTGCACTAACCACAGGGCTTAGTAGCCCTGGGAATTTCTCCTGTTTGGGGTTATACTTCCAGGCATGGCTGGGTGAGTGGGTGACGTCTGTCCTAGTGATGGGTAGGAGACATGCCCTGCCTGGTTCCGTAAAATGACCCCGTGTCAGTGCTTGCACTGAGAGGTACAGACTGTGGCACATAACCACTCGGCCCAAACCAGCACGGAGAGACTTGACCAGACTCTAGAATGGCTTCCAGCAGCGCATGGCTAGGATGACCACAACCCTGCCTGAGAAAGCTCAATGCTGCAGGGAGAATTTAGTGTTTGTTCCAGCCAACAGCTGACCTCCCTTTCTTAGAGCATTTACTAAAAAGGGTTTATTATTGTGAGTATGTGTCTCTTAAAACCGAGAAGCATCTGTCATGGGAGAGCCATTCTTTTGGAGGGACCTGGCTTCTGTCTCCCTTCTCCGTGGGAGGATAGACTGCTGACTTCCATACCTGCCAGTGACACACCTCCTGGCCTGGTCACACCCCCACGGACCCGCTGTCTGTGATCGTTCACGACCCTGACTCTAGTGGGTCTTGCGCTCCTCCTCCCTCCTCCCTTTAAAACCCCAGTCACCTCTGCACAAACCCGACAGCGCTCAGCTCTTTCCCCTGCTGTCAGCAGTTACTGAATAAAGTCTGCTTTCGCTGCCTTGACGGATGTCTGGCTGCGTTGGTCTTTGACAATATCCCCCATTCCCCTGGTTAATGAGTGACCACTAGTCATAATAGTTACAACGGAGCTAAGCCAGTCTCCTGGAGCTTTTAACAAGAGTCAGGCCTGACCGGTTGGGGACCTGCCCAGGGATGAAAGCCTATTGATGGCTTCTATTTATAAAGGCAGCAATTAACTTTAAGCACCAAGCCATTAATTTTAGATAGAGTTTTTGCTCTCTGAGAAATGGGAAGACAAGAAGATAGAAAATTTGCTTTGCCGGTTGGCAATGACTAACTATGATACTTAGTTATAGAGTGTGCTGTGGTGTTTTCTAATTGTTTCTTGTGTTCGCCTTGCCTCTCCAGCTAGGGGCACCTTCTTATCTCTGAATCCCCACTGTCACCCTTTTTAAATCAACAAATGTTTGGGGAGTGCTGGGCTTTTAACCTCTTTGACTCCCACTGCTATTAGGGTCTGGTGAGAGCATGGCCACCCAGACCCATACCCCATTCTGCCCGCAGGGGCCCAGCGTCGTGGATCCCCGGAGCCTGCCTCCTACACACCTCAGGAGGCCCAGCGGCCGTAGCAAGCCAGGCCCTGGCAGGCTCTTCAGCCAGCTCCTCTGACAAGTCTGGGATCAGGGCAGTTTGATCTCGCTGGAAGATGAACAGCTCCTCTGGCCCGCAGTCTGACTGTGGACAAATGAGAGGACTTTTGGATTATGGGGCGGCAGGCAGAGCCAGGAGGGCCTCAGGCTCCAGGAGCCCTTGCCCTGCTGCTCAGAGTGATTTGGGGAGATCAGTTTTCTCCCAGAGGCCCTTGCCCGGGCTGCGTCCTGCCACTGCTTTAGAAAAGGGCTCGGCCACACAGCCTTGTGAAGGTGAGATCCAGGGCTCCCCGTTCTGCACATACCTGCTGCTCCCTAAGACCCTGCACATAACAGGTGCCCAGTTAATGGCCAGCATCGAATGAACAGGGCAGCGAGGTGGCAGCTGAAAGAAGAGCCCAGCTCTCCCCCTGCCCTGCAACCTTCAGCCAACACTTAAATGACACAGAGCCTTGGTGCCTCTAAGGGGAGAGGGGACACTTAGAGTTCCCAGCTCACCTCACAAGGATATCTGAGGGTGAGAGCAAACGAAGCTGGAGACATGACAAGGCACTGGGGTCACATTATCTACTCTCCATTAGCCTTGCCATGCACAATGGCCCATGAGGATGCCAAGAATCAATAAATGTATTCAGAGAACAAAAACTGAGATTATGATAAACAAAGAAGCTGATAAGCTCCAAAGCTGTTCATGGGGCAGCATCATGTTTGCCATGGGAAGAAAGGGCAGTAGGGGCCTAGGAAGACATAGGAAGAAGGTGCTTGCTTACCGAGGAGGAATCTGAGTCCAGAGATGGGAGCTGCTCCCTGACGGCCTCGAGGATGGCATCCCAGGGCCCTGTCTGGGAGGCCCAGCGAGGTGAGGACTCCTCATCTTTGTCCTGGGATGCCATGCAGGCCCAGGCTCCGGGGTGATTCTCAGCCTGCCATCATCCAAGCAGCCCTGCAGGGGACACAGGGTGAAGTGAGAGGGTCCTGGGGCCAAGGATCAAGAGCTCAGGATGGGGCAGGGGGAGAGGGCTGCCTTTTCAAAGCACCTACCACACTGTGGGGGATGAACACAGACTCCCAGATCTCCCACTTGGTTTCCCTTCTGGTTCTGCGGGTTCCTATTCCTGCCAGTCACTGTGCCCGCGCTGTGTGTTTGGTGCAGGTAGAACCCAGATATGGCTGACCCCCGAGCAACACGGGTTTGAAATGTGCCAGTGCACTGGTATGCAGATTTTTTTCTATAAATACAGTTCAGTACTGTAAATGTGTTTTCTCATGATTTTCTTAACATTTTCCTTTCTCTAGCTTACTTGATGTGGGAATACAATATAGAAAATATTTACAGAATATGTGTCAATTGACTATGTTATCGGTTAGGCTTTCAATCAACAGTAGACTATTAGCTAAGCTTTGGGGGGAGTCAAAAGTTATATGTGGAGGGGTGCCTGGCTTGCTCAGTGAGTAGAGCATGTGACGCTTGATCTTGGGGTTGTAAGTTCAAGCTCCACACTGGGTAGAGATTACTTAAAAATAAAATTTTGGGGGAGGGGACGCCTAGGTGGCTTAGTTGATTAAGTGTCTGCCTTCGGCTCAGGTCATGATCCCAGGGTCCTGGGATCAAGTCCCGCATCAAGCTCCCTGCTCAGCGGGGAGCCTGCTTCTCCCTCTGCCCAATCCTTTTTTATTTTTTATTTTTTTCAAAGATTTTATTTATTTATTTGACAGAGAGAGAGACACAGCGAGAGCAGGAACACAAGCAGGGGTAGTGGGAGAGGGAGAAGCTGGCTTCCTGCAAAGCAGGGAGCCGGATGTGGGTCTCGATCCCAGGACCCTGGGATCATGACCTGAGCCGAAGGCAGACGCTTATCTTTTTTTTTTTTTTTTAAAGATTTTATTTATTTGACAGAGAGAGATACAGTGAGAGAGGGAACACAAGCAGGGGGAGTGGGAGAGGGAGAAGCAGGCTTCCCACAGAGCAGGGAGCCCAATGCGGGGCTCAATCCCCGCACCGTGGGATCATGACCTGAGCCGAAGGCAGACGCGTAACGACTGAGCCACCCAGGGGCCCCTGCCCAATCCTTTTTTAAAGATTTTATTTATTTGTCAGAGAGAGAGCAAGAGCAGGGGGAGGAGGCAGAGAGAGAGAGTGGAATGATGGTACTTCAGAGCCAGTGTCTGGACATCCCTTGCAGCGCCAGAGGCCACTGTGAGTGGGTAAATGGGAAGAGAGCACTGTCCGGCTAATACCCCATCAGGGTACCAGCAGGAGATGTGAGTGGTGGGGTACTTGCTTCTGTGCTTGGTGCACCCTGAACTGTGAACAGCAGGGTGTGGATGCAACACCCATCAACACACATCAGGGGATGTTTTTTTTTGGAAGCGGCCTCTGTAGGGCAGATTGTAGAACAACAGAATCACCGAAGTGAAGGCGGCTACCAGAGACTAGGTTCTTGTAGGCAGGCAAGGCAACAGAAGAGGGAAAGGCACTACAGGCTACAGGAAGAGCATGTACATTGGCTCAGAGGAGCGGAAACTGCCCAACAGGTTGCGGGGTAGAAGTTATCAGTTGCTGGAATATGCGGTGAAAACGGACTAGATCGCGCAGGTGAGGATTTTGGACTGGGGTTAATGCCTAAAGCTAAGCCAAAGAGGAGCTCCAGTCTCTTCCGAATCCTGGCGGTACCTCCATGTCCGTTTCTTGGCTGCAGCCCATTAGCCCCGCCCCCAGGCCCGCCCCTGGCCCCTCCTGCCCGGGGCGCCCCGTTGTTATGACAACCAGACGCCAACGGCCTCCCGGGTCAGACTTTTAAAATCTAAAGCTGGGAAGCAGGAAAACCCATCGTCCACCTTCCCAGCCACCCTCACTCCCTGTTTCCCGCCGTCCTGTCCGAATCCCGGCCTGTACCTTCGCGGCTGCGGCAGGCCCGAGGCCACTCACCTCAGGCCTCCGCCTCCCCTCCCTGCGCGGTCCTGACAGGGCTATAAACAGTCCCCAGTGCGTCCCTCCGGTCGCGCTCGCCCCCTCGGGCCGCGGCGCAACTACTGAGGCTCTCACGGCCTTTGGAATCCCCCCTCGGCAGAGTCTTAGATTACTGGACTGCCAACCGCACTTTTCCCGCTGCTCCTCTTTCGGGACTCGGCGCGGCCTGCCTCTCTTGAAACGGGATTGGTTCCCCCGGCCAGGGGAGGGGCGGGGCAGGGCGAGGTCCGCCTGTTCATTGGCTGACGTGGGCGTCACATAGTCAGCCAGGCGGGCTGACCGGAAGGTTCGGGTGCGGGACGGACGAATTGCCCGGCGGCGCCGGGAGCTGCCCCGCTGCCCGGCGAGCGTCCCGGCGTGCTCCGCGCCTCCCGCAACCACTTCCGGGGCGGGAGCGGGGCCGCGGGGTCCGGGCGCTGCGGCGGCAGCCCGCGCGGAGGGAGTCCGGGCGAGCTTGGCGGAGAACGGGCCGGCCTGAGGGAGTGCGGCGGCGGCTGCCCGGGGCCCAGCGCAGGTAGGCTCCGTGGCGGCCGGGCTCCCCCGCCTGGTGCCGGCACCTGCAGCCCGCCTGCGGGGCCCGGCGCCAGACGGCCCGGCCCTGCCGCTTGCTCGCCGCGTGAGTTTCTGACTGCGCTTCCGCTTCTGCAGCGGTGCGGCGGGGACGACAGAGCCACGTGCCGTGTAGGGCTACCGGGAGGAGGCGTCAAGGGACGTCAGTACAGTCGGGGCTCGGGGTATTCCCGAAGGACCCCCCCAGGGCCTGAGAACCAGGATGGGTACCCCGGTTCCTGTGAAAGGCATACGCGCCGAGACGAGACTTCCTCCCTTTAGGCATGGCGGCCGACCACCAGCGTCATTATTTTTTAGTTAAGATTTTTGGTTTAGAGGAACGGCCGCTGAGCGAGTATACAAATATGTGGATGAGCATAACCGTTTTATTCATAACAAATACCCCGTCATTGTAGAGTATGGCATGTGGTGGGGTGATAAAAGAAGTAGCGGTAGCCTTGTGGCCCCTTGGCATCCGAATTCTCCCTCCCTAGGCTCCTTGAGCCGGGTCTGGTTCTGATTGCCACCCTGCAGGGTGTCAGCCGTGTGAGCCTCCCTCCAATAATGGGAGAGACCATTTGGACTCCACCCTGGCATTTGGAGTAGAAGAGACACGCCCATTGGAGGCTTGAGGGGTGTATTGAAAGGGGCCCTGGACTGGCACTAGGCTTATTTGGGTTCTGAACCAGTGTCTCTTGGCCAGGACTATTCAGGTTGGGGTTTCTCACCTGCGCAGTGAGAAATCTGGTTGATCTCAGGCCTTGCGGGTGTGAGGAGGTGGTGGTATCAGAAAGCAGGGCTTTGCTCTGAACTTGGTTACTTAACAGCCCCCCTCACATGTACACATACTGGCCAAGGGCTTACAAATTCTTTGTCCCCCAGATTGGTGGCTTGTTGCTTGTTTGCCTATCTCAGCTGTTCCTGGAGTTTGGAAGCATTCTTTAGTAGAGACTGAGGTCCTAGTGGCATCTGTGAATTGCTGGGGCACCTTTAGGCCATCTGAATGGACCCGACCTTTGTTTTCTCCTTTTCTCTCTTTTCTATACTTGCTTTCTTGTTCTTTCCCACCCATAGTAGAGACGGAGACAAATGTTACTCTTGGACCTAAAGGTTCTAATAGGAAGCTAAGGGCTTGGCATTGATTTGGTTAGGATTCCCAGGATAAGGGACTGTCATAATCGAAGCCTTTTTTTTTTTTTAAAGATTTTTATTTATTTATTTGAGAGAGAGAATGAGATGGAGAGAGAGAGCATGAGAGGAGGGGGGAGGGTCAGAGGGAGAAGCAGACTCCCTGCTGACAGCAGGGAGCCTGATGCGGGACTCGATCCCAGGACTCCAGGATCATGACCTGAGCGGAAGGCAGTCGCTTAACCAACTGAGCCACCGAGGCACCCCAGTCGTAGACTTTTCATTCTGGTGGTGTTGTATCTCTGGGAAAGTTCCGTCACCCCACAAATTTACCAGTCTGTCACATCGCCCCCCCATCCCTGCCCACCATCTGTCCCACTTTCAAGGAATTCATAGGTGGATTCCTGCTCAGTTAACATTCACTGAATACCAATCACATCCTAGTTTCTGTGCTGGGACTTTCTTTTCAAGATTTATTTGTTTAAAAAACTTTTTTTTCTTAAAGATTTTATTAATTTGAGGGCACCTGGGTGGCTTAGTCGTTAAGTGTCTGCCTTCGGCTCAGGTTGATCCCAGGGTCCTGGGATCGAGTCCCACATGGCTCCCTGCTCCACCCATGGGAAACCTGCTTCTCCCTTTCCCACCCCCGACCCCCGCTTGTGTTCCCTCTCTCGCCATCTCTCTATCAAAATAAATAAATAAAATCTTTAAAAAAAGATTTTATTTATTTGAGAAAGAGAGAGGGATCATGAGCAGGGGAGAGGGGTAGAGGGAGAAGCAGACTCCCCGCCAAGCAGGGAGCCCAATGTGGGGCTCGATCCCAGGACCTGAAGATCATGACCTGAGCCGATGGCAGATGCTTACCTGACTGAGCCACCCAGGCACCCTATTTGTTTAAAATTTTTATACAGTAAAATTCACTCATTTGATGTTTGGGTCTATGGGTTTTGATTAATGTATAGAGTCAACATACCCACCAATCAAGATACAGAACAGGTACGTCACCCCCAAGTTCTCTCTTGCTGTCCCTTCGAGGTTCCCCTGTTCCTAATCCCTGGTACCACTGATCTGTCCTCCAGCCCTTCAGGTTTGTTTTTTCTAAAATGTCATATAAATGGAATCATATAGTAGGTAGCCTTTGAGTATGGCTTCTGTTTGCACAACTGTGTTTGAGATTCGTTCATATGTTATGCATATCAACTGTTTCTTCTGCTTATTACTAGCGTTCCATTATATGCTATTCTGCCATTTATTTATCCATTCTTCCCTGTGTTTTAACAGCAGCCCTTTAAGCTATGTCCCCATTAGACAGCAAGGAACTAGGGACTGGAGATGTTAAATAGCAGAGCTAAATTTTGATATGACTCCAAGTCCAGGGTTCTTTCCCCCCCCACCCAAGAGGTGATTTGGTCCAGTGACTCAATTAGCATTTCTTGACTGCCCATCCAAGAGGTTGTCAGGCTTCCCGAGTTGCTGGAGAATTCCCTTTGCAGAACTGGGGCCCGAGGATTGATGAAGGAAAGTATATACCGCAGTGTGTGACTCACCATATGTGCTCCTCTTTTTCTGTCTGGTGACAAGCTCACCAGTATTAGCAGGATGGAGCTGCCCAAACCCATACGGTATTTAATAAAAATTTTCTAAGTCTGTCCCAGGAGTTGACTGCATTGAGTCTGCTAGGATAGTGACATCGAGGCCTACTGCAGGTAGGAGTGTAACCATCGTGTTTCACTCCCTGGAACAACCGGGAAGGAAAGACCTAACCCCTGGGTCTCCCTCCACAGTGATGTCGGAGCTCAGCGATGAAGCTAGTGAGCCAGAACTGAACCGCAGCTTGTCCATGTGGCATGGGCTGGGTGCTCAGGTCAGCCGGGAAGAGCTGGCCGTCCCCTTGGATCTTCACACAGCTGCTTCCATCGGCCAGGATGAAGTGGTGAAGGAATGTGTGCAGCGGTAAGAGATCTTGGGAAATGTTCCTTCTGCTTAGATTTTGAGTACCGTCTCTGTACTGGGATGCTTCACATCCCAGACAGAGCTGTCAGTAAGCTCATGGGGCCTCACATAGTTGTAGACATTTCAGACACACAGATCAATCCCCGTGTCTCTCGGACAGTGGTCAGTAATGATTTATGCTGGACACTAATAAGGAAGTCAGTTTGTATTCCTCGGAAGAAAGAGAGGCTTTAAACTTTTTTCATAGGCTTATGAAACGTTTCGGGCTTTCTGTAGAGTCACTTAATGGCTTTTATGAATTGCAGAAATGTTCAAACAAAACAAAAATAAAGTTAGAAAGTGATGCCCTATGGCCTTCTTTCCCCAGAAGGTTCATTTTTATCTTTTTTGCCTTCCTTTCCCTTCTAGCTTTTGCTATAGAGGAGGAAGTGGGGTTTATCTTCCTCTCTGGGGGTTGCCACCTGCAGTCTTATACATATGTTAATGTAGTTTTTGGAAAAGGACCCATCTCCTCCTCTCCACCCCCTTACTGACCTATTTCCTTGTTTCAGTTTTTCATCAATAACTTGGAGAAACGACCTGTACGGACACAGGTCCGTACCCATACGTGCCTTTTTCAGTTCCTGGGGAGCCAAAGCAAAGCCTCATTTGAGTCCCAGGTTTCTGGTTCCCAAGTCCTAGCCATCACTTATGAATATCTGGCCAGTCGAGTACAAGTGCAGGCCTGTGGTAAGGGACATTCTGTCATACTCCTGTACCAGGTGGCCTTAGGAATGTGCAGCTGGGCACACAGGCAGCACATTCCCTCATAGGGTCACTGAGACCCCAGTTACAATTCTGCTCCTTTGGCATTCTTGGGCTTTTAAGCCTTTGGGTGTGCTGTTTAAATTCACGGTCCCAAATGGCTCCACAGGGGAGAGGGGAAGTGTCTGTGCTCTGACTGGGATTGTGGCCCTAGCTGACACTGAAGCTTGGCCACAGTAAGCATAGACCAGGGGCCTGAGGGCAGGAGAGGCCTCCGAAGGGAGGATTGGGCCCGCCTAGACATGTCAGAGCCTCAGAGATGCTCTGCCAAGGGCTAGGCTCTTCTCCACGTGGAACTGAGCACTCCCACAGTGAAGGTCGTGTGGCCAGGATGAATTGGTCTCTGTGCGCTCTCCCAGCCAGTGGCCGCCACTGCATTCCTGGGATCAGGACCTTCTGAAATGGCTGCGTGGGCATCCCAGAGTTACTAGAAGATGCTAGTGAATGGAAAATTGTCTGTGTAGCTTCCTGTGTGCATACCTCTGAGAGGCACAGACTGGATTGATTGTCAGTTGTTGCCTCTGCTGGAGGCAGGGATTGCGTGAGAAAAAAGGCTGTGGGACATGAACTATTCAGGGTGTCCTGGAAGTGGATGTGATTTCCATGCCCCAACCCCAGACTCTGGGCTTGGAAGCCCATGGTTTTTTCCCTGCGGGAAACGCCTTTCCGGAATTTTGATGGACATGAATGAGAAAGATAGGATTCTCTGGTCAATGATTTTCCAAGAATGTTTCTGTAGGATGAGGTGACAAGGGAGAAATATTGTCCATTTTCTGAGTCCCTTCCCATTCCCCTTTCCACCCAGCCCCACACTAGCAGATTCTGGTCTTTTGGGAGAAGAAGGCAGTCAGGGCTCAAGGTCACAGTTCCTTGACTGGCACTCTGGACAGCCCGAGCCAGATCATTCTCCGTTGGGGACCTGTGCATGTAGGATAACCGGTTAGCC